AGCATATTTGGCAAGGAAAATTTTGTTGTTGTTGGTAACTTCCATATTATGCAAATCTAATACAAACGATTGGTAACACTAACATCAAAATTGTGTCTGTTATTACACAAAATTTCATCTGTATTTACACAGTCAAAAAGCTCAAGAGAACAAGTTTGTTTTTTCAAAGAATAAACCTATCATCTTTAATTTTAAAACATCCACAACATTATCAAATGTCCTGACATGATTGTTACAGGGGAAATGTTACCAGTGCCAGTGTGGGGCTGGCTATCTTGTGTAACGTGTAATGATGATTGTCAAGAGACTAGTGCCGCGGAAGGAAATGCATGATCACATGGAATCGTAAAACAGTTTATTCATGAGTTCTGAAGATAGCTTCATAAATTATGTAACATTTGTTTCTGTAATCGATGGAAATGTCATGAAATTAACATGAATTTCACAAACTTGTATCTGTTATTTATAAATTTTTGCTACACAACATATTGAGTGAAATATGTTTTATTTACATTTTCACAAGCAAATCAATAAAAACAACAAACGATTTCAGCAATGTATCAATGCATGATGAAGTGAAACTTGCACGTCAGATAGATTTCCTTACCTAGATTATCTTTTGATATGCTTTTGAAATTAATTGTTGAACCTTGCCTTTAGTTATTAGGAGCAACAGTGACATAAGTGTTAGATTGATATATCTTGGACAGTTGATATCTGAGAGCTTAATTAATTTATGGGTTTTTTTCTGGTGTCACTTGTTTCTGCCAGTCAGTCTAATATAACAACTGGCATGATCTCCCATATCAAAGCTATATGAAGTGTTTCAGCTGATGTTTAAATGTACACATTAACTGAGAAACGGTGTTTATGTCATTGTTTGTCACCATTTAACATTGCATTCATTTTATGAAAGTCATAAAAATGCAAAGACAAGAAAAATAAGAAAGAAATATGAAAAATAAATCTCCTCAGAAGGGATATATATATACAGAAACAGTGTTGAAACTTTGTGTAACATAAATTTATCCTTTTTGTAAGAATTTTATACAATATTACATTTATTGTTGGATACAGAACATATTATTGAAATATGATACTTACATATACATGTGTCAATTATTTCATTCTTAATATTACCAGAGTATTTATGCTGACAGCAAAGTGTCTGTTTTTATTGACGTTTATTGACTGTTGACTAATTATCCAGGTGAGCTACAGTGCCATGGCACTATTCATATGAGGTATTTTGTGTATTTCAATCATTGCTATGAAAACAATCACCATGTGATGTCATGACAACTTATGAATGATACTTATACATCTATGACTAGTCTTTTTTTCTCTTGAAGCCATGGTTAAGTTATTTCTGCTGAAATTTGACATCTGATGAGTTGTCCAAGTGATGTAGATCAGCAAGTATGGTTCAATGTTGAGGGCCAATTTGAGTTGATTTCAAATGATCAGAAACTGTCATGGTGTTACTGGTGGTGCTGGATTTACAAGGATACACTGCCTAATTAGTGCAAGGGAATGCTGCAACGTGGACTGGCTGTAAAATGGCAATTATTTAATATGATACAAGCATAAAATGGGCTACAAAAACAATACATGTAGACACAGTTTGGATGTCCAGCTGCACTGATGCACTGGACAAACTAAAGATACATTCTTCTCTCACTTCTGGCGGATCTTTCTTCATGCTGTTCAAAGATGCTGCTCAGTCGTCCACATTGGCACAATGGCAGTAATCTGTAATGCTGAGTTGTGAGTTATTATCCCTCGCCACAATTTGGGTTGGGGATATGGGAATGGGGTTCGTCTGTCCGTCTGCTTCTCAAAGGGGACAAAGTTTTCTCATAAAGTATTTAAGTCAGAGAAATGAAATATTACACACTGATTTTACTGGTTATGATCTTTAATGATTTCGAAACTTGGTATTGTAAATACATTTGTTACAGAGTTATGGCCCTTGCTCCATGCTTTTCGACTTAGTGCATACTCTTTGAAATGGGGACATGTTTTTTCAGAAACTACTGAAGTCACATGAATGAAAATTTGCATGCTTGTCTAAGAGATACTTGTCAAGGCTGAGTTCGGAAATTGGTCCCGTAACAATTTGTTTTATAGAGTTACATCCCTAGATCTATGTTATTTTACTTGGTACATAGTGTCTGCAGTGGGGATATTTTTTCTAAGAAACTTCTGAAGTTAGCTGATCTAAGAGATACTTATCAAGACTGAGTTATTTATTTCAGAGAAGGGTCCTTTTGTGTGTATTGATTTCACATTTAATCAATTTTTATGATGACATAAAGCGTCCGAACTGCCTATCTCTTCTTAAGACTTCAGAGGACTTGTTTTACCTTACCTGATACTACACAGTGCTTTAGCTTCCCTACCTTATACAAACAAACAGTACTGGAACGAAGAGACAGTTTAAACAGACTACAGCCCATTTCTCGGCATACCTTGTTTTATTTTCAAATTTTGTCTTCAGGTGGTGTTTCCTCCATATATCCTTTCCCTGCTTGCTATATCGGATTCTTTGCAGTTTATAGCTTGTAAAGCTATATTTTTATAGCACATTTCACCCCTTGGTCGCCATTTTAACTTTTGTACATCTCTGTTTATGGAGTAGCGAGTTTATGTACTTTTTGCTATAGTTCTCTTAAACTATTGGTGAATCTCTCTTTTATTTTGTTGATTATGGCTTGCTATTGACATACTTCCTATTGATTAGGAATATTCTGTTTTTGAATTGATCCCAGTCGCGCTTCACACTGTGTTGTGTTTGTTTGTTTGTACGCTTAGTTCACTTATTGTCCAGTAACATGTTTTGCTTCATATGTGATTCTGCTCGTTACACTTATGCGCTGTTTACATTTTTTTGCAGAATGTATTCTATGCATTGTGCTTTATGTCAAAGGCCTAAGTTGGGGAAAGATCCACATCAACTTTGCCCCTACTGCAAGCCTGCATGCTCATTTGATCAGCACTGCTCTTTTTGCACTCCCTTGTCAATTACTGACTTTAATCATAACAGAAAGGCCCTCCTTCGTCGCTAGAAAAAACTTGCTTATAGGAGGAAATGTTTGATACTTCGCTGCCACCAACCTCTCCCTGCCTGTCGAATCCAGCCCCTCCACCTTCGGATATGACTACATCGGCACGGTTCCTTCGGTGCTCCTCCCCAATCTACACCTTCTGCGCCGCTTGATTATATGAATCCTAAGGCCATTTGTGCCTTTTGGGAGCAACTCTTGCAAGCTCCCGCCAGTCGCCCGGTTGGTGTTCCCGCGCCTCGTCAGATACTTCGTCCCGCCGTTCTGCTGGTCTCATACTCCTGACGACACAACTGCTGCCTTTGTTAAGGGCCGTCGTCAGATATAGCCAGAACTTCACCTCAGAGAGCCTGTTGTTGACATGTCAGGTGGAGACTTCACCTCAGACAGCCTGTTGTTGACATGTCAGGTGGAGACTTCCCCTCAGACAGCCTGTTGTTGACATGTCAAGTGGAGACTTCCCCTCAGACAGCCTGTTGTTGACATGTCAGGTGGAGACTTCACCTCAGACAGCCTGTTGTTGACATGTCAAGTGGAGACTTCACCTCAGACAACCTGTTGTTGACATGTCAGGTGGAGACTTCACCACAGCCTGTTGTTGACATGTCAGGTGGAGACTTCACCTCAAACAGCCTGTTGTTGAAATGTCAGGTGGAGACTTCCCCTCAGACAGCCTGTTGTTGACATGTCAGGTGGAGTCTTCACCACAGCCTGTTGTTGACATGTCAGGTGGAGACTTCACCTCAGACAGCCTGTTGTTGACATGTCAGGTGGAGACTTCCCCTCAGACAGCCTGTTGTTGACATGTCAGGTGGAGACTTCACCTCAGACAGCCTGTTGTTGACATGTCAGGTGGAGACTTCCCCTCAGACAGCCTGTTGTTGACATGTCAGGTGGAGACTTCACCACAGCCTGTTGTTGACATGTCAGGTGGAGACTTCACCACAGCCTGTTGTTGACATGTCAAGTGGAGACTTCCCCTCAGACAGCCTGTTGTTGACATGTCAGGTGGAGACTTCACCTCAGAGAGCCTGTTGTTGACATGTCAGGTGGAGACTTCACCACAGTCTGTTGTTGACATGTCAAGTGGAGACTTCACCTCAGACAGCCTGTTGTTGACATGTCAGGTGGAGACTTCACCACAGCCTGTTGTTGACATGTCAGGTGGAGACTTCACCTCAGAGAGCCTGTTGTTGACATGTCAGGTGGAGACTTCACCACAGTCTGTTGTTGACATGTCAAGTGGAGACTTCACCTCAGACAGCCTGTTGTTGACATGTCAGGTGGAGACTTCACCACAGCCTGTTGTTGACATGTCAGGTGGAGACTTCACCACAGCCTGTTGTTGACATGTCAGGTGGAGACTTCACCACAGTCTGTTGTTGACATGTCAAGGGGAGACTTCACCTCAGACAGCCTGTTGTTGACATGTCAGGTGGAGACTTCACCACAGTCTGTTGTTGACATGTCAGGTGGAGAATTTTACCACAGTCTGTTGTTGACATGTCAAGTGGAGACTTCACCTCAGACAGCCTGTTGTTGACATGTCAGGTGGAGACTTTTACCACAGTCTGTTGTTGACATGTCAAGTGGAGACTTCACCTCAGACAGTCTGTTGTTGACATGTCAAGTGGAGACTTCACCTCAGACAGCCTGTTGTTGACATGTCAGGTGGAGACTTCACCACAGCCTGTTGTTGACATGTCAAGTGGAGACTTCACTCCGGACACATGAAATGATTTGGATGATGGTCCATGTTGATTGGCAAGTACATTAGAATTGTATGATGTCTTTTGATATCACTGTGGCAAGTAATTGAACATGGTGTCAACAATTATAATGCTCACTGACAATTACCAAAAATACTTCCCCTATATCTGTGGCACTGTGGGTAATATCATGTAATGAGTTCCCATGCACTCTTGTATGTTTCAGATGGTTTGCATATTGATGCTCGGAATGTTATCTTAGGAGCACAGGGCACTATTGTGGACCAACATGTGAGTGTCAGACTTCATGCCATTACACAGCCAATTAACGTTAAAAACTGTTTAGTGATGTGACTGATTGTATCAGACTGTTTAGTGATGTGACTGATTATATCAGACTGTTTAGTGATGTGACTGTATGTATCAGGCTGTTAAGTGATGTGGCTGTATGTATCAGGCTGTTTATTGATGTGGCTGTATGTATCAGACTGTTTAGTGATGTGACTGATTATATCAGACTGTTTAGTGATGTGACTGATTATATCAGACTGTTTAGTGATGTGACTGATTATATCAGACTGTTTAGAGATGTGACTGATTATATCAGACTGTTTAGTGATGTGACTGATTATATCAGACTGTTTAGTGATGTGACTGATTATATCAGACTGTTTAGTGATGTGACTGATTATATCAGACTGTTTAGTGATGTGACTGATTGTATCAGACTGTTTAGTGATGTGACTGATTATATCAGACTGTTTAGTGATGTGACTGTATGTATCAGGCTGTTTATTGATGTGGCTGTATGTATCAGACTGTTTAGTGATGTGACTGTATGTATAAGACTGTTTAGTGATGTTGCTGTATGTATCAGACTGTTTAGTGATGTGGCTGCATGTATCAGACTGTTTAGTGATGTTGCTGTATGTATCAGACTGTTTAGTGATGTGACTGTATGTATCAGACTGTTTAGTGATGTATCAGGCTGTTTAGTGATGTGGCTGTATGTATCAGACTGTTTAGTGATGTGACTGCATGTATCAGACTGTTTAGTGATGTGACTGTATGTATCAGACTATTTAGTGATGTGGCTGATTGTATCAGACTGTTTAGTGATGTGACTGTATGTATCAGACTGTTTAGTGATGTGACTGTATGAATCAGACTGTTTAGTGATGTGACTGTATGTATAAGACTGTTTAGTGATGTTGCTGTATGTATCATACTGTTTAGTGATGTGGCTGCATGTATCAGACTGTTTAGTGATGTTGCTGTATGTATCAGACTGTTTAGTGATGTGACTGTATGTATCAGACTGTTTAGTGATGTATCAGGCTGTTTAGTGATGTGGCTGTATGTATCAGACTGTTTAGTGATGTGACTGCATGTATCAGACTGTTTAGTGATGTGACTGTATGTATCAGACTATTTAGTGATGTGGCTGATTGTATCAGACTATTTAGTGATGTGACTGTATGTATCAGACTGTTTAGTGATGTGACTGTATGAATCAGACTGTTTAGTGATGTGACTGTATGTATAAGACTGTTTAGTGATGTTGCTGTATGTATCAGACTGTTTAGTGATGTGGCTGCATGTATCAGACTGTTGAGTGATGTTGCTGTATGTATCAGACTGTTTAGTGATGTGACTGTATGTATCAGACTGTTTAGTGATGTGACTGTATGTATCAGACTGTTTAGTGATGTGGCTGTATGTATCAGACTATTTAGTGATGTGACTGTATGTATAAGACTATTTAGTGATGTGACTGTATGTATAAGACTGTTTAGTGATGTGACTGTATGTATCAGACTGTTTAGTGATGTGACTGTATGTATAAGACTATTTAGTGATGTGACTGTATGTATAAGACTGTTTAGTGATGTGACTGTATGTATCTGACTGTTTAGTGATGTGGCTGTATGTATCAGGCTGTTTTGTGTTGGGGTGTATGTGTCAGACTGTTTAGTGATGTGACTGTTTGCATCAGGCTGTTTTGTATTAGGCTGTATGTATCAGACTGTTTAGTGATGTGACTGTATGTATCAGACTGTTTAGGAATGTGACTGATTGTATCAGACTGTTAATGATGTGGCTGTGTGTATCAGGCTGTTTAGTGATGTGGCTGTATCTATCAGACTATTTAGTGATGTGACTGATTGTATCAGACTGTTTAGTGATGTGACTGTATGTGTCAGACTGTTTAGTGATGTGGCTGTATGTATCAGGCTGTTTAGTGATGTGGCTGTATGTATCAGACTATTTAGTGATGTGACTGTATGTATCAGACTGTTTAGTAATATGGCTGTATGTATCAGGCTGTTTAGTGATGTGGCTGTATGTATCAGGCTGTTTAGTGGTGTGGCTGTATGTATCAGACTATTTAGTGATGTGGCTGTATGTATCAGGCTGTTTAGTGATGTGAATGTTTGCATCAGGCTGTTTTGTATTAGGCTGTATGTATCAGACTGTTTAGTAATATGGCTGTATGTATCAGGCTGTTTAGTGATGTGGCTGTATGTATCAGGCTGTTTAGTGGTGTGGCTGTATGTATCAGACTATTTAGTGATGTGGCTGTATGTATCAGGCTGTTTAGTGATGTGACTGATTGTATCAGACTGTTTAGTGATGTGACTGTATGTATCAGACTGTTTAGTGATGTGGCTGTATGTATCAGACTGTTTAGTGATGTGACTGATTGTATCAGGCTGTTTAGTGATGTGGCTGTATGTATCAGACTATTTAGTGATGTGGCTGTATGTATCAGACTGTTTAGTGATGTGACTGCATGTATCAGACTGTTTAGTGATGTGACTGTATGTATCAGACTATTTAGTGATGTGGCTGATTGTATCAGACTGTTTAGTGATGTGACTGTATGTATCAGACTGTTTAGTGATGTGACTGTATGAATCAGACTGTTTAGTGATGTGACTGTATGTATAAGACTGTTTAGTGATGTTGCTGTATGTATCAGACTGTTTAGTGATGTGGCTGCATGTATCAGACTGTTTAGTGATGTTGCTGTATGTATCAGACTGTTTAGTGATGTGACTGTATGTATCAGACTGTTTAGTGATGTGACTGTATGTATCAGACTGTTTAGTGATGTGGCTGTATGTATCAGACTATTTAGTGATGTGACTGTATGTATAAGACTATTTAGTGATGTGACTGTATGTATAAGACTGTTTAGTGATGTGACTGTATGTATCAGACTGTTTAGTGATGTGACTGTATGTATAAGACTATTTAGTGATGTGACTGTATGTATAAGACTGTTTAGTGATGTTGCTGTATGTATCAGACTGTTTAGTGATGTGGCTGCATGTATCAGACTGTTTAGTGATGTTGCTGTATGTATCAGACTGTTTAGTGATGTGACTGTATGTATCAGACTGTTTAGTGATGTATCAGGCTGTTTAGTGATGTGACTGCATGTATCAGACTGTTTAGTGATGTGACTGTATGTATCAGACTATTTAGTGATGTGGCTGATTGTATCAGACTGTTTAGTGATGTGACTGTATGTATCAGACTGTTTAGTGATGTGACTGTATGAATCAGACTGTTTAGTGATGTGACTGTATGTATAAGACTGTTTAGTGATGTTGCTGTATGTATCAGACTGTTTAGTGATGTGGCTGCATGTATCAGACTGTTGAGTGATGTTGCTGTATGTATCAGACTGTTTAGTGATGTGACTGTATGTATCAGACTGTTTAGTGATGTGACTGTATGTATCAGACTGTTTAGTGATGTGGCTGTATGTATCAGACTATTTAGTGATGTGACTGTATGTATAAGACTATTTAGTGATGTGACTGTATGTATAAGACTGTTTAGTGATGTGACTGTATGTATCAGACTGTTTAGTGATGTGACTGTATGTATAAGACTATTTAGTGATGTGACTGTATGTATAAGACTGTTTAGTGATGTGACTGTATGTATCTGACTGTTTAGTGATGTGGCTGTATGTATCAGGCTGTTTTGTGTTGGGGTGTATGTGTCAGACTGTTTAGTGATGTGACTGTTTGCATCAGGCTGTTTTGTATTAGGCTGTATGTATCAGACTGTTTAGTGATGTGACTGTATGTATCAGACTGTTTAGGAATGTGACTGATTGTATCAGACTGTTAATGATGTGGCTGTGTGTATCAGGCTGTTTAGTGATGTGGCTGTATCTATCAGACTATTTAGTGATGTGACTGATTGTATCAGACTGTTTAGTGATGTGACTGTATGTGTCAGACTGTTTAGTGATGTGGCTGTATGTATCAGGCTGTTTAGTGATGTGGCTGTATGTATCAGACTATTTAGTGATGTGACTGTATGTATCAGACTGTTTAGTAATATGGCTGTATGTATCAGGCTGTTTAGTGATGTGGCTGTATGTATCAGGCTGTTTAGTGGTGTGGCTGTATGTATCAGACTATTTAGTGATGTGGCTGTATGTATCAGGCTGTTTAGTGATGTGACTGATTGTATCAGACTGTTTAGTGATGTGACTGTATGTATCAGACTGTTTAGTGATGTGAATGTTTGCATCAGGCTGTTTTGTATTAGGCTGTATGTATCAGACTGTTTAGTAATATGGCTGTATGTATCAGGCTGTTTAGTGGTGTGGCTGTATGTATCAGACTATTTAGTGATGTGGCTGTATGTATCAGGCTGTTTAGTGATGTGACTGATTGTATCAGACTGTTTAGTGATGTGACTGTATGTATCAGACTGTTTAGTGATGTGGCTGTATGTATCAGACTGTTTAGTGATGTGACTGATTGTATCAGGCTGTTTAGTGATGTGGCTGTATCTATCAGACTATTTAGTGATGTGGCTGTATGTATCAGACTGTTTAGTGATGTGACTGCATGTATCAGACTGTTTAGTGATGTGACTGTATGTATCAGACTATTTAGTGATGTGGCTGATTGTATCAGACTGTTTAGTGATGTGACTGTATGTATCAGACTGTTTAGTGATGTGACTGTATGAATCAGACTGTTTAGTGATGTGACTGTATGTATAAGACTGTTTAGTGATGTTGCTGTATGTATCAGACTGTTTAGTGATGTGGCTGCATGTATCAGACTGTTTAGTGATGTTGCTGTATGTATCAGACTGTTTAGTGATGTGACTGTATGTATCAGACTGTTTAGTGATGTGACTGTATATATCAGACTGTTTAGTGATGTGGCTGTATGTATCAGACTATTTAGTGATGTGACTGTATGTATAAGACTATTTAGTGATGTGACTGTATGTATAAGACTGTTTAGTGATGTGACTGTATGTATCAGACTGTTTAGTGATGTGACTGTATGTATAAGACTATTTAGTGATGTGACTGTATGTATAAGACTGTTTAGTGATGTGACTGTATGTATCTGACTGTTTAGTGATGTGACTGTATGTATAAGACTATTTAGTGATGTGACTGTATGTATAAGACTGTTTAGTGATATGACTGTATGTATCAGACTGTTTAGTGATGTGACTGTATGTATCAGACTATTTAGTGATGTGACTGTATGTATCAGACTATTTAGTGATGTGACTGTATGTATCAGACTATTTAGTGATGTGACTGTATGTATCAGACTATTTAGTGATGTGACTGTATGTATCAGACTGTTTAGTGATGTGACTGTATGTATTAGACTATTTAGTGATGTGTCTGTATGTATCTGACTGTTTAGTGATGTGACTGTATGTATCAGACTATTTAGTGATGTGACTGTATGTATCAGACTATTTAGTGATGTGACTGTATGTATCAGAGTTTTTGCTCGTTTCAAAATTACTTAGAAGTGTTGATTTTTGTTCGATGATGTTTGGTACCTGTCATCCTTTGTGTGGTGCATTAAAGTGGTGAGGTTTTCAGCTATTTGAAGGTCATTGGTATGGTCATTCATTAGGTTGTTCTGCTTCTTTGTGAACTGAACCAACCTCAGTGTTTGTATTAAATGTTTGTAAGCACTTATACATGAAATAATTTCATGTGATTTGCTGAAATGTTAAGGTGAAGGTAATTAAATCAGAACCAGAAGTGATGTCATTAGACCAGAAGTGCTTCTCTTAGGGTAGCAGGACCAATGTTGTACTGCATTGGACAGCATTTGGATCCAAGTTTGATAGGGATTAGATACCTGATTTGTGAAGTCAAAGTAATTTATGATACATGTTTGGTGGGAAAGTTTGGGGCATTTGGGAAATTGTAGGGATGGGATTCTGTTTACTGTAAATCATGAAATGATATTTATAAACCACAAATTAGAAAGAGTGATCTAACCATTTTACTTTCCTACTCCAGTGCTTTTTCACTCACTATGTTTTCAGGAAAATGACACTGAATATACACCTTATCTTTACAGGCAAACCCTCATGTCATCCCAACAGGAAACAATCCTCCCAGAGATGATGCCAGCAGTCTTCAGATGGATATGCCACCTTCATACAGTTCCCAGACATATCCTAAACAGGTGGATTTTGCATTGTCTGATTTAGACATTGAGAATTGCACAAGTGAGGATGAAACTCAAATGAAACAACCATTGATTACAGCGAGACATCCGAAACCAGGAAACAGTTTACAAAATGGAAAACAATCAATAATCACAGAACAAGTTTAATCTCCCATACTGTCTGCTTCTTTCAATTCCAACCATATATTGGCTTGGTGTATAAAATGAATGACTAAACTCTGTGTATGAGCTGAGGTACGCAATGCCAGGCCAGATGGCGTCCAGACACATGGATACTATACATGGATAATGGATCAATATCCTGCTCTACAAGTCAACAGCAATGACAGTGCTTTGTGTATTGTGTTTGCCTCCATTCTGCAAATGATCAAATGAATATACGATTACATGATGTTTATGACACGATGTGCAGGGTCTTGGCTGAAAATCAGTGATGACACCAGGTGTTCATGAAAAGGGTATGCATGTCCTGCCCTACCGGTAGCACCCGCCATTCACACAATTTGCATAAAAAAGTAAGTATGTATTGCCTGACATGCTCACCAGTACTCTTGCGATGCCTCGGCGGCCTGTCAACAAACCAGGCAATCAAGTGATCAATGAACCAGAAAATGTCAGTTTTGAATTATGTGAGCATGACATTAATGCAAAAAATGTGAGTATCTCTTGCTCACATTTATAAAGTGACACATTTTTATCAGGACATATTGGAGTATATTGTCATGTCTGGTTTACCGCACATAGGCAGAATGACATGTATGACAAAGCTCACAATAACCAATGTAAAGGGGTGCTAGATTTCAACAGTGCTTCTCACCATCTCACAACAAGTGTGGTCAGTTTGTTCAAGAGTTGTTGTTTGGGAAGGGCGTCAGTGGCTTAGTTGGACTCAGTTACTGACAGCAACATGAAAACTGGATTCATGAAGTGTTCAAGGGGTATCTTTGATTCAAATATCACCCAAAGTGAAATTCCCTTGTAACTTTAACAAGACAATATCCCTAGTCCAATGACACAATTCACCCATATGTAGCTACTCAGCTTGATACTGCAGTGTTCTTCAGTTTCTCCACATCTAAAAACAATTGAAACTATGTGGCAAGTGATGAAAGACTTGTGGCAAGTGATGAAAACTGGAACCTAAGTATCTCAGTGAATGGTCTCCATCATGGAATGTTATCCATCACCCTTGTAACGATCAACCCAAGGCTTGCATACACAATTTGATAGATAGTGTGGAGTATATCCAACAGTGTCTGGTCAGAAACAGAATGTAACTGACTATTGACTTGAATATTTTATAAAACAATAGTCTTATACAGGTTTGTGCAAATTCTGGGTATATAGTTTGAATTATTGATTAAATTACTGAAGCTTGAAATTGTGGCCTGTATTGTGCTTGTTACTATTGTTGTGGTATCTGGTTGTGTAACAATGTAATGTCTGAAACTTGAACTGTGCATGTATACCTGCCAATTTCATTGTCAATATGATAGGCTGAAATAGCTGCAGGTTATGTTTCATGGTCTTCATGTGATACGTTTTACTTCAATGTGTGAGAGTATGTGTGTTTGAGAGCATGTGAAAGCATGTGTGTGTGCCACAGTTTCTTATGACAGTAGATTATCACAAATAGCATACACTTGCATTTTTTGCTGTACTTTTCCTGCACTCAGTACTTTCTTATTCAGCAGTATTCCATTAAACATTTAGATTGAGGCTTCATATAGTCATAGAGAACAGGAATCAGTTTTAACACACTGTGACATTGTCCATTTTTCTATCCACCATCCTCCAGTCAGTCGGCATTGTGCTCTTCTTCTCCAATACTATGGGCTACAGTCAAATCTTGTTAATACTGAATGACGAGTAAAAAGTAGATGGGTTTTTTTGGTCCCTACTGTGTTATTTGTTGTTGTTTAAAACCTGGTTATGTAAGTAAACAAGGACTTTTTCGTCTGGATCCCTGGAGTCATTATATAGGCAAATTGAAATATAAATTCAAAAGGAAATTGTCCTTCAAACACTCCGGTGGTGTGTATCAGCTCACAGTAACTTTTCCAAACATCCATGAGTTCCTTCCCTTGGTTGCTTGGTACTGCCCGTCTTACTCAGCATTACTTATGGGAGATACAACTCAACATTGAGATGGTTAATATATTTTAACATTGAATGTTTCTTTTGTTTGCTATACTTTTTAAGACATTTCACGTCATGGCTGATAATAGAACATGTTGGATAAGTGGCCATCTGGATAAGTAGATGGTTTTATGACAGTCTCTTGAGAGTAGAGCAGAAGGTCAGTTGTTCTGTCCTCTGGCCATGTCAAATCAAAAGGCATTAAGAGGTGAGGTGAAATAGAGTTTAATGTCACGTTCAAGGTTGTTACACTTATATAGCAATCTGCATGCATGTGTGTGTTAGTGGCTGCTTGTACTACTCCGACTAATGCCAATTTTATAGTGCCAGCCCACGGAGATACCTGTTTAACATGGATACCTCACTGAAACACACTACACTAACTCCAAGCTGAACATCTGATCAGTCTGGACTAGTACAAGTAGGAACACACACACATGCATGCACGTCGCTATGTAAGTGCTATAATCGTCAACACAACATTAAACCTCACATCACCTGCAGGTCAATATCATTTTAGAAAACTGTGTCACTTGCTCAACTCTAAGGTTTGAGTTTACATTATACACCAAACTCTGCTGTAAACTTTTGATCAGTTTAGATTTCAAGTTTACTCTTTGAATTTCTTAACATGTGTCTCATATCATTATCTGTGTTTTAATTATGTTTACCCGGTGTCTGAAGTATTAAAGTCAGCTAAATAATGTCCCTGTGGGGTTTGTGTTTTCATGTTGTTGTTCATGTTGCTCCATCTTTGTAAAGATGATCCCTGCTATGGTGGCTCTAAAAGATGCTTGCAGAATGCTGGTGGTTACACATTCCACAAAAGTATGAATGCTTTTATCATTAAACTTCGTCTGTTCCTTATCTAGGATGGTGCCCTCCTCTGAAAGGGTTTTGATCACTTTTCATCAAGCTCAAGGTCTTTCGAGAAATAACAAATTATTCAGTGATATTGCATTCTATCATTATTTGATTATTTACAAGCTTGTTTTAAGAGGCGACGAACAGGATCAGGAGGTTCGCTGACTTGGTTGATGCATGTCATTGTATCCAAATTGCGTTGATTGATGCTCATGATGTCAATCGCTGGATTGTCTGGTCCAGATTTAATTGTTTACAGACCGCCGTCACATACCTGGAATGTTGCTGAGTGCAGCGTTAAACGCAAACAAACAAAACTTACTCACCCATATTCCCAGACTAACACAAAACAAATCTGTATAAATTGTTTTATTCACAAACTTGACTACTTGTTGACATACAGCTACCCAATGATCAGAGGTTTAGGGTTCTTTGTGATGTGAGGGTGATGCTATTTCCGCAAGGCATTCAGGAGACTTGGTAGTTGACCACAAGTTGACCCTGCCCTTGAAGGACTGGGACTGTACCCACATGGTGGTGTTCAGCACTAGAGAGTGTTTCCGTGGTTCAGTAAACATTGGCCAAGTCTGGTGCAGGCCTAACCTCAATGCGTTGTTTTGGTCACTGAAATGTAGAAACGTCTAAACAAGGCTCGCCAATTTTTAGCTCATCTGAACCAAAGGTATTCATAGGAAATTTGATATTCGGTAATGTAAATTTTCCATTAGAATGCAGGTGGTGGATGTTTAATAGTCAGCATGTTTTATAACTCACAAATAGGTCGCAGTTAGGTATCCCAGAATTAAGCTTCATGAGCTGTGGGATAAATGTGTTCCCGAAGAAAGTCTTATTTCGAACTCAGGAGACATAGTTTAGCATCATACACGACTAACCTCCTTAGTTGCTTACCACAGACGCCAAGGATTTGAAGCCCAACCTGTTTCAGGCAATCTTAGGAATTTATTAGAATTAGTGGATCACCTTTGATAAATTCCCCATCAATAGTATGTACAAAACATACTCGACTAAGGGTGACAGAGGATAATCTCCAATTACATTGGCCATGGTGCTGCTGTCCACTCCTTGACAGGGATAGTCCTTGTACTGGAGCCACAGTTTGTCTTTTAGCCAGTTTTGTTGTATATTTGAGAGGATTCTGTGTACAAGGGATGAGACGGACCCGCTCTGCATGATTGTTCTTTGGAACAATTCCTTGGACCCAGGGTACAAGGTCCCAGGTGGATCCTGCTGATTCTCCCCTGACCCTCCCCCCAACCCCCTAAAGATGCAATGTGTTTCTTGACCATTTGCAGAGCAAGAGGTTGGTCCAAGAGACCATAGTTCCCCATAGACACACGGTCTTTTTGTGATGAAGAATCCAACTGTCCCCATACAATACTGGATTGTTGCCACAGTTACTTCCCTAAGGGCAATGATGGAGGAAGGGTCAAAGAAAAATGGCATAATGAAGCCCCTGCCATTTATCCAAACAAATCCAGGGATGTTCCTGGTTTCCGTTAGTGACATCAGTGAATACATTCATTTAGCCATCCTCGTCTCCAGTAACACCATCAACACCATACATGTACATCTTGAGAGTCTAAAGACATGATGGACCATTCAAGTAGACTTTGAAGGAATGGTTAAAGCCTGGATGTGTGTGCGGTCGTCTGAACCCCCTTTACCCGTGGGCGGCAGTGCGAAGGGGATTCCTAGGACTGCATGGTGAGATGTCCAGTCTGTGACTTTGGTTCCGTCAACCTTGTCACATGGGTAAGTACATAACGGACAGGGCGCAACCAAGAAGGTTGACAGCAAAGGGAAGAACTGGGGAATTGCCACAATCCTGTTTTGTGGAACGATTTCGCTCAGTCTTTGAACGTATGTATTAGTCACATAGGAGTTGGTTGTACACGACAGTTGTACCACACTTGGCATTAAAAAAGTACGCTACATATTTGTAATTACAATAATAACGCCAGGTCCTTCTGAACGTTGCCAAAACATCATTGTTATTGAGATGGCTATGCAAATATAGACCTGACGAGGTTTTTCAAGGAATTTGTGTATTAGACGTTCGATCTCCAAAACGCCTCAACGGAGTGCTGAGTTGGTCGTAGGTACCATTCGGAGATTAGCCTCGGTCATAATCCTTGGTTTGCAGCACAAAAGTAGTAAATGTCTACGGCCTGCTTCAATTTGGTCTTTCCTCCCACATGAAGCTGACACACCGTCATATTGTCCGTTCAAAGAGGCACCAAGCCTTATTTGTGGCAACCCGTGTTATTATGGGACAAGTCGAATATTTTCTTGCAGGTTACGGAAAGGGGAAAAATCAGGCACTCACTCTAGATATGTACAACATTCCTGTCCATCAGTTTGGTTGGGTTTGACCATGATATATCTGTGCAGATGTGGCGATCAAAGGTTTCAACTGGTGTGTACTTGCTTTAACAACATTATCATGTATTTCTGTAATATACAGTTACCTCATAGCTCTTGTGTAAATAGTTTTTGATCCTTATTTATTTATTAATTAATATATTTTTTTTTTACACAACCAATTTGTAAGGATTTAGCTCCACACTTAGTTAATAAATATGGCAAATATTTGCTGTTTTCACCATGTGTAAACTTTGATGGACACCTGTAGCAACTTAAACTTGCTGACCTGCTGTCTGCTGTATAGGTAACCTATACCTAACAAGTATGCCACAAGACGTGCTACTCCATGTATTACTCTGTAATGTCATATACTGAATTGAATAAAAAATATTTTTAAAAAAGAAGTTTTTGATCCACTGTGCTGGTTGAAAATATGTCTTAATTATATGGTTTGGAGTCAATTAACATGTGCACATCTTATCACCATGGCATAGACATGCTTTCATAATGCTCCCACACACAGTTTCAGTATTTTACATCGTCATCAGCTACTGCCAGCAGTTTGGCTTTCAGCGGGTTAATATTTACAAGTAGAGATTGCTGCAGAGCATCAATAGCTCCCCGCCATATAATGTTATGTGCAGAGGAAGGAAGTGTAAGCTATGGGAGGAGAGAATTTGTGTTAAGTACAAATTGGTTGTTATTAATGTACTTATCTTTGGAAAGCACAATAAAAGAAACAGTGTGTCAGCACAAAGAAAACCAAGGCAAGAAAACTGGGCCTGTCAGGCAAACCTTGATGTTTACCCACTATTAGTACCAATAAAAAAATCCTATATAGATAACACAACAAATGTCACTCTAAAGCATGCTTTTGCAGCAAATATCAATATTTCTGGTCAAAATGTTGGTTGGTTTAAATAAAGCAAACTTTTAAAATAGTAAACACAAAAAATGTAATGAATACACTCTAAATATACTTCAGTTCAAATGTAAAAATTCACGCAATCATTAATGGATTCCCATTTATCTAGTAGCAAGTTAGGAACATACAGTTTGGTCACGTTATCTATAAATATTGAGAATCATCTTACATATTGTAAAAACAAAGGCCATAGGTCACTTTTCTCAAAACTTCGTTTAAGTGATCACAAACTAAAAATTGAAAAAAATGTAGATATACAAAAACACCAACCCCATTTGAACAACGTCTCTGTGAAACATGTGATGTCTCAGAAGATGAACAACATTACGCACTGTCTTACATAATACAACCAAGAAAGAGAATCACAAATAATCCCCAATCATGATAAAGAATTTGGTACACTCTGTTAAAAGGAGCAGATTCTTAATAAGTTTACCAACAGTTATCCAGAAACAACTTCCAAGATCTGTTAACATATCAACAATTAAAAACAAATTCCTTGTACATGTATGTACAACATTACCATAGTTTTGCTCAATTCTCATATTGTTTCCATATCATTACAAAACCCCGTTTTAGAAATTAAATTCTACCTCTTTTGAATGTTGAATGTTCCTGTGTTTTTTAATTGTCGTTTATTGTGCATGTATTTTGTAGTTTGTGATTGTACAATATTGCCACTGTTCTTCATGGAATGTTCCGCAATACATATCTCATCTAAAACATCTTTGTTGTATAATAGTTTCTTACAGTTGTTTACGGGGGCATGGTTGGCCCAGTCGCCGAAGGCGCTGCAATTCGCTATGCAGAGTTGTGTTCCTTGGGCACGCCAGAAACCTGTGACAGTGTGTTTGAATCTCGGTTCACCCCGATTTTGTTGTCAGCACAAAACCCTTGCTCGTTGGTTTCACCAAAGTGGTGAACGTCTAAGACCGGCATCACTTCAGACTTTCATCCCACTTCAAGCTGACACGGAATACTATTCAAGACGGCGTTAAACCCAACTACCTCACTCACTCTTGTGTATGGTTCCGTTTGGTTAACTGGGTTTGTGTTGGTATTGCTTCCGGCTTAGATTGGAAACTTGTTGAGAAGAATGTTACTATGTTCAACCCAAACATCGTGAAGATATCATGCAACCGTATTATCTTTTTGGAAAATAATTGCAAACTGCAGACCAACCTGTTGATTTCCTATGTATCCAGAAGCAAAGAACATATACGGGTGTATGATCTCTGCTGGAAGTTAATTTTTTTTGTCAAAGCAATAAACCATGCAGAAACGTATACCGCCGCGTGAAACGGTATGTACCATACATTACATACAGTGAAGTATTTAAAACAATGCTGTGCTCAACTATGCACAGCAAGCGCCATACATGTGATTATGAAGACAACTAATAAAAAAATTCTCATATCAAACCCGTTGTTTTACATGTGTTGTTTATTGAAGAAAGTCATACTTTATAGAAGCCTGTTATTTAATCGTGTTGAACAATATGTTGCAATAGCAGTGTGAAAATTGAGTGCGCGTG